GCCATTATCAATCAATACTCGCCCTACAAACATGTCCCTGCATTTGACGGTGATATACAAGGCACGATTGTGCATCACCCGTTCGAGCGGCAACTCCTCTTCTCGGAAAGAGATTTGATGACTCCCAATGACATGACTTACCATAGTGGCCAGATTCTCACGGGTTTAAGGTGTTGGCAAAAATGGTAGTTAAACAAATGACCAAATGAATTTAAATTGTAGCCAAATGGAATTTAGTTAAATTCGGCCAACTCTCAATCAAGACGAATTTAAACAAAATTAATTAACGAGCTTTTTAATCTTATCGAAATAAAATAAATTAATTCGAAATTATAAACTATTAATCAACTAAACTAATTAACCAAATATTTAAGTAACTAAAATCTTTTTTAGACGATTTTCAAATATTCATAAAATATACCAACTATATACTTAATTATGTAAAACATGTATATTATTCAAAATTATAAAAAGGAGACAAAACATTTAAATAACTTGCAAACTATTATTCTTTTCTTTGAAAATTTCTAAAACTAATTATTTTAAATCGCTTGAAATTGAAGAAGCTCGATGATTAATTTATATTGTAAAGGGTCAAAATTGGGTGTCAACATTTATCATGTTCAATATAAATGTACTTGACATATAAACTTGTGTTATGTATCACACACACAAAAAACCCAGCTAATTTGAAACAATTACATGTATAATGTATATTTTAATTTTAAATTATAGTCTTTCTCAAACAAAATAAGATACATAAATAATAATGTATCATGTACTAATTTTTTAGTTATGATACATAAATTCGAATTTATACTGAATGTATCTGATACATAACAATTACCAAACAATAATGTATCGATCTCAAACCTAAAATCTTATAGGCAACACTTTCTTATTTAATATATCTAGTAGAAATACAACACTTATTAATTTAAATTGAAAGTATCTTCATGATGTATCTTCTCAAAATTTTCGATAATTTTGAATCAAAATTGAAAGGATCTTTAATGAACTAGGAGAATAATTTTGAAACTCAAAATTTTCAACAATTTTGAATCAAAATTGAAAGGATCTTCAATGAACTAGGAGAATAATTTTGAATCTCAAAATTTTCGACAATCTTGAATCAAAATTGAAAGGATCTTCAATGAATTGGGAGAAGAATTTTGAATCTCAAAATTTTTGACAATCTTGAATCAAAATCGAAAGGATATTTAATGAACTTGAAGATTCACAAAAGATATCATTTGTCCAAAAACAATTCCATCATTGTTGTATCTTTCATAACTGACCTCACTTATCCAAAATTTCGACAAAAGTTTTTATGAAACAGAGAGAACGATGAACAAGAAAAAGAAATTTAATTTTTGAATTTTTTGGTTAGCTACACTATATGATTGAATTCTTGACAATAATTTGGAATGGAATAGCGCAATTTATGGGATCTTAATTTGATTTTCAGTTTTTCCCCCCCCTTAATTAATGCAACAGATGGATATTATGAGATCTTAATTTGATTTTTCAGCTTTTTTTTTCTTAATAAGTGCAACAGATTGATACATAATGTATCAACAATAATGTATTCGGATCCTTAATTATGTATCCGAAATGCCTAAAAAATATGGAATTTGTGTAATTAGAAAAATAATAGGAATAGAAGGTAATTTAGGTTTTACACTATGAGATTTATGTAAGTTATACAAGATTTTAGTCAGACAATTGAAAAACTAGTGCTCAATTTACTATTACTGATTTGAAGAAAATCTAGAGAGAATTTTTCTGAGAGAGAACAAAGATCTATGAACATACATTAAAAAATTGAATTTTGTACAAAAACGCAGAAACTTTTTACCCAAAAAAAGCAAGATCTGAAAATTTTCTTATTTCAAATGCTCACAATCAACAAAAAAACACAAAAATAATTTGAATAATCCGTTCTTGACTTGACGAATTTGATGTGGGAATAGTAAGGATTGATCAATTTCAGATGTCTCGTCGAAAGTTTTTTCAAACAGTGAACCTAATTAATTGAACAACTTCGCGATCAATTTCTATCCCACAATGTTGTTTTCTATTTTTTTTCTTGAAAATTTATCATGAAAAAAAAATTATTTTTCACATTAGCCATAGCAAAAATAGTGTTTGTGATTAGAAAAAAATGAAGGAAGAAGAAAGGTAGGGTAACGTGAAGGAGAAGGGTGGAGGTGGAAAAAAATTGCCCTTTTTTTTTTACTCAAATGGGCTTTTTTAATTATTTTTTATTTAATCTTATTTTCATGTTAGCTTTGAGGGTGGTATTAAATTCACTTTTGAGTAGTATAAGTCTGATAGATTGCCTCAATAGTTTAAGCGTGTAACTGACTTTTTGGTACAACTTCAGGGGTGAATTTGTCATGCCCCGAGCCTACACCCTAGGCGGGACTAGCACTTGAGAACCATTGTTGGAAGACTCTAAGCATTTTTACAATGATCAAATGCACTTCTACTCAACTGTTTAATAAAATAACTTAGAACGTTTAAAGGTCAAACATTCAACTTGGCCAAAATGGCAACTCAAGTCTTAACATATGAAATAATAATGTAAAGACAACTGAACTACTGACTGTCTATGAAGCCTCTAAAACAAGGAGGGATGTCGGGACAAGACCCCCAATCATCCTAACAAATGAAATACCAAAAGCAAATGATAAAAAGGAGCCCTCCGGAAAGCAAGGAGGCTCACCAACTGACTCTGAATGCTCAACTGGATCAATGAGGCGTTGGATACTGATCCTGGTTAGGTGTGTCTGCATCATAACAACGATGTAGGCCAAATGACGTCAGTACATTGAATGTACGAGTATGCGAGGGGAAAACTAAACATAAGCTTGAAGGGAATTTGAAAGAAACACTTACTTTGGCTTTACTCAACTCATGAATAACTTAACACAAATGCAAAGTAAACAACAATAATGGTGCAGTTATACAAAGCATTTAAAACAGTAGTAGGTACTCAATTTGTTAAAGAAATGCAATAACAACTCGGTTTATTTGTAAAGTAATATAATATTATGGGAATTTCTTTAACCGACAACCACCATTATGAGCCTAAGTGGTGATACAACGTCTTGCCCACGCTGCCAGAACTGTCATATACTTTGCCGTCATATAGAACGCCTTAACTAACTGGATCTACTAGTCTCTGCTAAAAAGCATTTAAGGAGATTATCTAAAAGGTATGATCCTTTACAACCCATGATGGCTACATGGTTTATGGAGACTTGAGTTATTATGAACTCGCATCCCCATATCGGTGCTCAATACTACTCCCAAAATATACTTAGGTCATATGTTTTTAAAACAAAACTTTTTTCTTTGGTTTGAGATAATTACTCAAAACTTAGCTTAAAAGCTCTCTTGGAATCAGTGTTCCCTTTCTTGCTCAAATGTGAAAACATTTTTAACTCTTGGGAATACTTAGTTCCCGTATAATCTTTGAAGAAATGAACTTTGCTCTTACTCTTTACTCAACTCAAAGTTTAAGTCTTAAAACAAAGTTAAAACGTTTGTAAAAGACTTTTGGAAAACTTTATGAATTTCTCTTAACTTGACTCTTAATTTTCCTTGAATTGAATTATGGATTCAATGATTGTGATTTGTGATAGGAATGATCTCATGATGTTTAGGAGTGTTTTTAGATAGTTAAAAACGAGAAAAGATCAATAAATCACTGTTTGGAAGCAAGTTCGCGACGCGGAGATGTATTTAAATTTTTGGTCGTGAAAATAATTTTTGAGGTAGAACGGTCCATGACAGCTCCGCAACGTGAGGATTTTTCCCAATTTGAGGAACAAGGTCCGCGACGCGGACCTGGTACCCAGATTCGCCCGACAATTTTCCTTATTCGTTTTTCAGCCCCAATTCGCCTAAACTCAGTTCTTTTTCCCAACTTCTCTTTAGATTCAGATACCTAGTACCTAAGAACCTAACTCAAAACAATTTTATAATTCGATGTAATGATCTCAGAAACTTCTCAATCTCAACCCAATTCAAGAACGATATTAAATTCAAGAATACATATCAAGAATGTCAAACTTTCAACCCTTTTAGGATGAATTCATGCTGAAATAAACATGTTTGGCACGTGGGTGAAACATACCTCGTAGGGATCACCCCTTGACGAAATCCACAAGCGATTCTTGAAGAACTTGACGATTCTTGCTCTTTCTCCTCTTTTCTCCTTTTCTTTTCTCTTCTCTCAAAACCCTAACTTAATTTTTCAAAAGCGTAAACTGACCAAGTTCAGTTTAGAACGCTAAGTAATTACCAAAAACGAATTTAAATCATGGGGCATGGAAAAGACCATAATGCCCTTCTAAAATTCGGATTAGACTTTCCTTATTTGAACAGCCAACTTCAAATAGACAGATCTCACTCATACGAACTCGGAATTGAGTAAACTCGGCGGCGTTGGAAGGACTATTTCCAAGATCTTTCCTACAATATCTGGAAGCACACCTAACTCATCCTGAGCTAGGATTTATGGTCATTTGAAGTTGACCAAAAACTCAAACTTAACATGCTTAACAAAAAAAAATCCAGATTTTTATTCTTTCCAAAAATGACTATTTCCAAATTTTAACTTCTTTCTAGTCCTTTCAATTAGCGAGATGTTACAAAATTTATGTCTTTTCTCAATCTTATATGTAACTATATACTTCAATACAATATTCCATATTTCGATATCTTTTTTATAAATACCAAATATTAGCTTTTTAAAAATGCATACCAAATACTACAAAACCCAAACCCAATTCAACAATAAATCCCTCTAAGCAATAGTCTTATCTCTGTCAGTTCTCTTGACAATTGCTCTAAAAAAAAGACGCTATGCAGGCAACCCCATCAGAGTGGGTGATAAGCTAGTGACATTGTTTGCTCATGGATTTATTGTGCCAAAAGATGATTGACGATTTTACTAGCATGGATAATTTTATTTTCATCAAAACAAGAGGTAGCAGAATCAGTGACAAGAATATCAACTATCAACTTACAAGTTTATCATACATTTTATTTAGTTATGTACATTTTGCTAGATAGACACTAAAAATGTGCATAAACAAAAAAAATGGGGACAACTGTAGAACTCAATATAATTTATACATAGGTTATGGATCATTTACAAGGAAAGTTTACACCTTCAGAAATAACTTCTTTAGTTGACATCCTGGAGCAACTGTGGAGCTTTGGTAGTTTGGGAGATAGTTCTGGCATCTAGCTATATAGTCTTATGCGAGTTTTAATGGGGTCCCGGCATAAAGGACACAATTGTATCGTGGCACCACACTCCTTGCATGTCTGATTCAGAAAACACAATGAAAGATATCATTAGTCATTTCCTGGACTAGAATATGAGTTGTAGGTAATCTATAATTCAAATGTTAATAGCAAAAACTAGACGAGGTGCTAGGTGCATCCAGAACATGAGAATCAGTGGCAGAATGAGTACTAGGACCAATGAAAGCACTAAACATGGAACCTATCATAGGTCATGATGAAATAGCCTTACCAATACCAAGTGACCTCGAAGATATGCTAAACGTTATGATCATTCAAATAGGGCACACATCAAATCTCTTAAGTCACAAGGTTAGATGTGCTTACTGTCCAAACTTCAAAAGAATGCTTTGGAGCAAATAAGGTCCTTAGGATAACCGTAGTCATGAAAACCACCATTCGTGCAGTGAATGGTAAATAGAGAATCTTAATATCAAGCAAAGTATCTCTATTCTTTCTGCTGCTGTCAGATGAACTAACAGTGCATCAAAAGTTCGTTTCAGCAGCATCGTGCGTTATTCTGGCAGGATATGCATGATTAAGTAGGAAATGTAGGTGAATGGTATTTCACCATGTGAGATGTCAGAATCCAATTTTCAAGCTAGTTTTCCTTTAGAGTAATGCTAGTAAGGAATTCCAGAAAATGATATGCTCGCTATTTTTTTTTTATACCCTCACTGTTTAATGACACTCTAAGGATTTCTTATAAAAGATTGGATACGGAAGAGCAAAATGAATTGCAAACTAAACATGTTATCTCTGGCCTTTAATTTCCACCATTCTTGTCTTACATTCAATGATGAGATCCTTATTGTCACCATTCTTTACAGAAAATGAATTGATCTAAGCAGCATAATGTTATTGCTATTCTGGAAAAAGTATCCATTTAGACATTCTAAAATTATATAATAGATTATAAGCTGAAACTATAGCGGTCAAACGTCTCATGTAAACTTAAAAATATTACGCCTTAGATAGATTATAAAGATTAGATTCAACACTAACAGTAGTTAAGTGTCACTTCTATAATCACTTACCAGATGACCACATCCAAAAGCCATGTCCTTTGGGTTTGTCAAGCAAATGGGACAAACCTTAAGAAAAAGGGAAAACATTATTTAGAAAAACAAACAGAACGAAAAAAAAAGACTTTTACAAACATTGAGTTATACAAGAAGAGAAAGAACCATATAACAGAAACACTTACTTGTTCTGCAGCTCCTGAGTCAACAGGTTCATAGCTTGTCACATGTGGCACTGATTTGACAGCAAAGTCATGATCAATTACTTCACGAGGAGGAGGAAATGGCCTTGTACGAGGGCCTGTATTGCTTCTAAATAACAAGTTTTGAAAAAGTTAGGCATCATGTAGATGCTTTCACCTTGCAAGAAGAATATACACAGATAGATGCTACTCACTCTCTGAATCGAAGGCGTTGTGTGGCTCGGTACTGAAATGGAATTTCCATTAGTGCAGCAAGAGCAAAGGCTGTTTCCTTCTTAGCCATCTCTGAACGCTCAGACATAATTTTTGTAAAATTAACGAACTGCAAGTGGATAAACAAATAATTAGGAAAACTAAAGTTGATTAGCATCAAAACTTTCATCTCTAGAAGAAGAAATAATCCCCTACAGGAAGGCTACACATGACTGAACTGGGCAAGATTATTCCCTTCCAAAAAGCGAACCTAATCATCTATAAAAGGGGGCCAATTATACAAAAAAACAGAAAAGTGCAGTCCACTTTTGTAGCATGAGGGATTATCCTCCATGCTTTCCTTCTGTTAAAATCTGCTCCATCTGAATTCCCCAACATTCCTAAAACACATCAGCTGTTTTACCCTATTGGCATGACCCAAACGGAACATGTTAAAGTATCTCCAGCCACAACTTCATTGCAAAATTTAAGGGCAAAACACGAGGATGAGCCTCCTTCGAAGTCCCTTACATGTAAAGCATCAGATCACAAGGATCGTCGTTCTCTTCCAAAAATCTTAGCAGCAAGAACGACACCCATGATTTGTCCAAACAAAAATAAAAGTGACTTCCCTAGGAACTATTGAGTTCACAATTTGAAGCGTGCTTACATTTTAAAATGATGTACAAAATGGATTTAAAAGAGAAAATGGACACAACATTACCCTGCCAGCTCCAATCCAACATAAGTCCTTTTTTCAGTCATTGTCTTCAATTGAAATTTCTTCACAAATCCATGTCATTCTTTTGAAAATTAAAGGAATGAAGCAAATTTATAGACAAATTCCTCCATCTTCTGCTAGTCGTGCAAGTTTCTCGTAACTTTGCAGTCCAAGATCATGGTTCCTCCCTCTCTTAATAAATTCAGCTACCATTAAAATTTTATTCAAAAAATAGAAGAGCATACATCTACTGAAGTCTGATTCAAAACACCCACTGCACGCCAATGTTTATCCCAGAGAGAAATTCTTCTGCCATCATTAACCACTCAAATCATCACCTTTTCTATATCATTCTGTAGCTTCATGGTGTCCTCTCATTAGGTTGTGCCACCTGTTCACTATCCCCTTTTTTATACCATATTTCTCGCCTATCACACTTCTGACTCCTTGCTACCAAACTCCATAGTCTCTTGACAGTGCTAGCCCTCTTTAGCACCTTCACATTCTCATCCTTATGGAAAAGGATTTTGTTACTGTATTCTCTCTTTTCTAACAGATTATAATGCCAGAAAGAAGTATTGCAGCAAACCATTTTCCTGATGCAAAAGATGAGCATGAAGAGAAGAGGAGGTTGCAAAGATGCTTTCTGTTTTCGTTTCTCTTCTTTTTTAGTAGATAACCCTTTTTCAATAGGTTTACAGCTAAGAGCAGTTGGGGGAGGGAGCGAGTAAGAGCACGCCTAAAAGTTGGAAGAAAAATCCTTCACCAAAAGCATGGAAACCTTTAGGTGACAGGTCATGTGGTGCAGTAGTTGAAAATATAGAGCAAAAATCCCTAATAGTAATACTGGTGTGTATTGGGCAGATGTCACAAGCTGTTTAGAGAAGATTTCTGCAAATCCTCTTACTAGAAATCAGCTTCAATTCATCCCTGAGATTTAACAATAAATTACTTTTTCGGTATCTGTTTAAAATATTTGAACCAGCTAGCAATCACAGAATGATAACCTCGTATTGGAAAAGGTATAGTCTTTGTATAGAAATTTTTGCCAGATACGCTAGACAAACTGGGCAGCAAGTTAGCAATTGTTTCCTAGGCGATATCGACCAATAGGAGAACCAGCAATCAAGCTTGTAAAAGATAAAAGGAGAAGCATTATAACATGGTAGGATAATGACTTATCTTCGATCTGTAAGTGCTAAAGGGAAAAAGGACGAAAGGTAAGCCTCATAGCCACAAATATCGTAACTGTAAAATCCAGAACGAAAAAAATAAATAAAAATAATCTAGAACAGATGAAAGGTGAAGCATAGTTGGCTTAACCAGACATGTTAAAGAGATGGAAGCAAAGATAAAGAATGTCTTTCAGTTATACCTGGAAGTTATCAAATGCCCGTTGTGGAATGTTATCATCAAAACGTTTCATTTTATCCCATGGGCCATCTCCAACACCGACCAGAATAATTGAAAGAGGATATTCACTGCATGCAAGCATGTCAAGTCAGGCAGGAGAATGGCACTATAAATCAACTTCTAAGAAAGGTTGCCTGTTTACCTAGCAGCAACAATGGAATTTACAGTAGCCTGTTCTTGAGGGCTAAGGCTTCCAGGCAGAGTGTCAACCTGTCCGTCTGCGATAATGACAAGGACGTGATACTGCCCATTATTTGCTTCCACTATATCAACTGCAGCATTGACTATTGGGGCAAATGAAGTTGGACCTACATGTTTTTCAGATGAGTTAGGATAATCATATCAAGCAGGAGTATTTCATAAAGGACATTCATCAGATAACAACAAACAATCACATTATGCAATAGTATTAAGAAACACAAAAATGAGGTGGACCTAGTCCAAGAGTAAAGTTGAGGCTCCAAGCACTTCAAAGCCTTGGGTTCAGTTCTCTAGAAAATAACGTTCAAACATCTCATATTTGTTATATCGATAGCCTTTGCAGCTTAGTTCAGATTGGTTAGATTTGTAACTCCAACATAATTCTTGCAAAAACTGGGGAACATGGTTAGTGAAGATTCATATAACCTAACCAAACTTGATTGAGACTGAGGTGTGGTTGTTGTATTAGTTCTTGCCAAAACTGGATAATCATACTATCATAAGTTGCCCCTCCCTCTCTAAACACGAAATTTTGCAAATTCACTCCTTCTCCCCATGTTGTTGTCATAAACACCTCAGACAATTTTATTTTTTTATAAAGGTAACAGTATATTCATCAGCACAGAATCTGTGTAGGGAGCCAAATTTATGAAAGATCCACAAATCTAAATATATCTATGAAGAGTCCCACGTTGATGGTTTGAGGGATGGGTGGTTTGTTTATATGGTCTTCGGAGAGGAGGCAATCCTCTTCTCATGAGATAGCTTTTGGGGTTGAGTTAGGCCCAAGATTCATTTCTTTACATGGTATTGGAGAAGGGTCCATCCCAATTCATGTATCCCAATGTTGGGCCCCCATAATAAAATTTCCCGATTATTGACCCAAAACATTTTATACTTCCTCTCTTGGAGATGACTTGTGTACCGATGTTCACTTCCACATCTACCTCGTAAGTCACTGAACTGAACTTCCACTCCAAATAGTCTATCTTAGTCCTACTCAACCTAAACCCTTTAGACTCCAAGATTTGTCTCCAAATCTCCAGCTTACTCAACTCCGCCGCGTGTCTCATCAATCAATACTATGTCATTTGCAAATAGCATACACCATGACACCTCCCCTTGGATATGCATCACCAGTTCATTCATTACTAAGGCAAATAAAAATGGGAGAAGAGTTGATTCTTGGTGAAACCCCATCACGACTGGGAGTGTTGGAGATGATATCTCAAATTAATGTAGATGCTGGAGATCATATCAGCAATTTATAGAGCATAGAAAATGATAATAAGAGCTAAAGTAACATTTGAGATAAGAAAAGTTAATATAGTATTAAGAGAATTAATGTATCATATACATAGTCATCAATTATTGCTCGCGTACATATAAGCTGTAGTTAAGTATACTTAAATAGCTGATTGCCAAAAAATACCAAGCAAATTAGAATCAATAAAATTAGTTCCTCCGTTTTTCCACTCAGATTTTCAACACTGTAAAGTGATGCACTTACTATAAATCAGGAGTTCATTAAAACTATCATAACACAGTATAAACTTTGTCAATGGAATACAAACATAAGATGGATGAGATAATCCCTACTCTTTTTTGAGAGTTCAGTGTACAAGGTTAACAACAGGAGACGTTATATGACTACGGATGCCACTATTACGAATTCAAGATTCAGAAAGGCAGCCATTCATATCAAACATGTATGAACCACACAGATGACCCCTATCCAACCACTGAATAAAGGAAATTAGGAAAGCAGTATTCATCTTAAACCTGATAATTGCAGATAAGGAACAATTTCCTTATATCTTGTAAGAGCTTCCTCAAATCCATTGCAAGGCCGATGATCAGGGTAAAAGCTAAACACATGCTGATCGTGTGTGGTTGCTAAAATTTACAGAGACAATAACCCATGGTTAAGGTTATTTTAAACCATCTTGATTGTTTGTGAAAAAGTTAAGGCTCAGAAACAAAAACTAACCATCACCAAATCCAAAACATGGTATCAGGTTGTCTTCATCAAAAGGAGACAAAGTTCGCCCAATTATAGAGATGGCTTGCTCGTATGGGTTAGCTGTGTGACCAACTGAGTGGAGGCTTTTCCGGTTGAATGAAGACTTCCCTACAACCTTAAATTTGTCAACCCATCGCCTGCACAACTTGAGACAAACACAATGACTAATAGCCTAGTGAATGAAGTAGTTCACCTGTCCATTCATTGCTTTTGGTGAAATCAATACCAAGAATCAAGTTTGATGACTCAAGGCCTGCTTCTCGCAATGCGGTAACAACCTGACATAGAAACTCTTTGAGTTATTTATATATTACATTGCTAAAAAGCTTAGCTACTACAGTTCATTAGCAAAGTAAGCAGTAAAAATAGAAACACTAAATGAGCTGATTCATTGTTGACTTTTTGCCTAATATAAGTAGATCTGTTAATTCTATGTTTTTAACTAGAGAAAATGGTCAAATAATGAAACCAATGCTTCCAAATTCCAATGGTCATCTTTCAGAATATTAGTTCTATAAGTTTAGTGTGGGCTATTCCTATCTTTAGCAATTTCGAGTGATAATATCAAATAGAAAACAACAATGTCTACATATTGTAATGTAATATGAGCAGCAGCTCTCTAGAGGTTGGACAGATCTAAGTTACGCAGTACACCACTCAATATTTCCGACAGCACTTGTGAATGTGCAATGCAAAATTGGATTTGAGATGTAAACTATTTTAGCTTCTAAGAAGCACACCATGAGCTTTTACGACATAAGATATTTTCTCTAAATAAAGTAAGGCAGTATGACTTCATAGAATATTTGGTCGCTTCAAATGTTGAGACACAAGATTTATAATTAAGAATTGTGACAAAATTGTTTATTTTGTTATCATAATTCATTAGAGGTGAAAGGTTAACATTCAGATAACAAGAATCTCTAAATTACTTGAAGCAAGCAAAAGATGGTATCTGAAGTTATGGAGAACAATGAGAACTTGTGATTTTTTGTTCATTGCCATCTGATGGCCCCACTTTGGTCCACCATGAGATGTTCTGTGGAACTCTATACAAATCTGGAAAGAATGAACATGTTATTAAAAAATTAACCTCATCCAAAGATTTAAAGTTATCAGCTATGTAAGAGGCTTGTTGGTTCCTTTGATAGTTTGCTCTATCTGAACCCCCGGCGTATGATGTTTCTTGAGCTGGATAGTTAGAATCCACAGAGCTTTCTGCATATGTAGTAGGCTGATATTGAGGATTGGAGTCAATTTGATAACTTACACGTTCTGGGCTGTGGTGATAATGATCACTGTGAGAGTCATTTAAGGCAGACTCTTGATTCCCCATTGTGTAAGAATATGTTCCAACGTTATCAAGAGCTCTGCAAAAACACTGTGATAAGCTGATATAGCAGTAATTTGAATTGTATTCACAACTACATACTAATAAGAAGAGCGGGTGTATTTATAAGTTATATTTGCTAGAGCTCAGGAAACCATAAGTGCCCAATCAACAACTCTGTCCATGTACACAGAACTCATTTTAAGGATTGATATTAAAAATAATAAACAGGTTTTAGAAGCTGTGTAATGACATAACAGCAATATGCTTCTACAGAAATAGAAGTTCCGAGCACAAAGCACAGCGCCTTAACCCAAACTTTTGATTGAGTTGGATAATTCCTTTTGAACTTCCCCTTATAACAAGTAGTTCCAGTATGTTTTCTCTTTACCTGAAGCTACTGCCACTGATGACTGAACCACTCTTTAAGGTTAATATTCTGATGGGAACTTCCCATACAAAGTAAACACTGCAGTTAGATACACTGAAATCAATTCATTCAAAAAGAAAGAAAAAAATCAAATAGTATTCCACAAACTAACGGAGTAAGCTCTTCTTCAATCTACTGAGATATTGTATTACTGCAACTCCTCCTGTAGATTGGTATAATAGTACTAACATCTCCTGATCCTGGCAAAGGTTACCACCAAAAAAGGAACTAGGAGAGAAGCAGAAACTAAATGGCTCTTTCGTGGAGTATACATATAGTACATCATTTATCAATGCAAAATAAAAACAAATTTTACATAGAGCTTTTGACATAGTCACATTTGACAATTTCTGTAGAAATGATTAAGCACGGAACTTACTTAAGCTAGAGCTGCCAAGGAGAACCAAAATGAACCTAACAAGGTTGACTGGTATTAACTCACCACATGGATACTATCGGTACCCGTATTATCCGTCAACCCATTTTTTATCCGTATGAAATATGAGCCATCAGATATTTTATCTATTTTTTGCCCAATCCATTTTTGACCCGCCCATATCTGACCCTACCTGCTCGTTTTCCAGCACTACTCGAGACATGCTTATGAGTCTGATATTATTTTGGTGCATGTCTATTTTACTTGAGATATGAATTACATATTTGTTTCAGAAGTATGATCTCTTAGGTATGAGCTTTCAGGTAGCATCCGAGTCATGAGATGAGTATCTTTTAACTACTTCGATTGGCATGTTTCAAACTAAACCTATATGTTTTCAAATGAAATGAGAACTTGTCACATATCTGATTATGTGTAATATTGAACAATGATTTCATTGATTTGCATATATTGATATATGAGATAATCATATATGTAGAAGTCATATCAAACGAGTTTTGAATAAGAAAGAGAATGAGAGAGCGAAAAGAGATCCCTGCTTACAAAGGTGGTGTTAGATTCCAGTTATCCTCAGACAATAGGGTGGATCTAAGCTCGGCAGTCACACGGTATGTTTGGGGCAAATTTCATCTTAACTTGTACATAAAAATAGTCGATCCAAAATGTAATGCTTTTCCTAAGGGATCATCTAGGATCTAAGCTACTAGTAATACCTATTCACTTGACATCCCAACCTCAAAACCAAAAGTGACAAGTATAACTATACTTCAAAACCATCAATATGGGATAAACATTTTGGAATTTCATTCTTCTTTCCCCTAGTCTGCTAACTTTGACACTGAAAGGAAAAGGCGACCAATCTGAGCCTTTTCTCTCCTTCTAAAAATTCTCGTTAACTACCCGTTTTATTCCAACCAACTGCAGCAATAAAGCATCACCCAACTTGAGCTTAATTTAGTCAAACGATTTAGAACAAAAAACAGGGTAATGAATAAGTCATAATTAGATAGAAGTGATAAAAAATCTAACACATCATCAACCGTCAACCTGCTACGCCACATATAGTACTTATTGAAACCCTGGCTCAGCCATTATCCCGGCTAGGATGGATAAAGAATCCAATAAAAGTATGCTTCAGTTCACAAATGTTGGAATCTTGAGTTACTAATGAGGGGCGGAGCTACAAGCCCGTCTACGAGTTCAGCTGAACCTAGAAGCTTTGGCACAAATCTTGTGTTTGTGTTTAAAAATTCATTTAATACGTATATACATATAATGTATCCAGAACTCAATAAGTTGTATTTTCTAGAATGCAAAACCCACAGCCTCAAAATCCTAGTTCCGCCTCGGCTACTAATTGGTGCCTCACAAGTAAAGTCAAAGTAAATCATGCATCGATGGCTAGATTTCACTAAACCACTTCATAAAAGTAAGTTTATATGATTATAGAGATTCTAAATCCCAAATTGATGTGTGCACATTCCCCAGATGCAATGAAGTTACTATTGACCAATTTATAACCAATTAAAAAATCCCTTTCTAAGTACTTAAAGAAACACACAAAGCAGCCTTGTACCAATTCCCAATCTCAAAAATCAAACAAAGACCGGACAATTCCAGCATTTTCAAGTCAAATATAGCAATAATTACTGAATTACAAGGCATTTCGCCATAGATCAAAATATTTGTTCCTTCATTTGTAATTTATGGAGTTGGAGTTGAAAACGAAGCTGTGTTTGGTTATACTTTTTGCAAAGAATATTTGGAGCTGATTGAATGTACGTTAACACAACTTCAAAAGTGAAAAGTGAGTTAGAAAACATGTTATAATTATTATTTTCCCAAATTTGAAATACAACTGATTTTCAAATAAAGTGAAAAAATTATAAAGAAAAAAATCAATACCCACTTTAGATAATCTCAAGCTAAATTGTTCAAGGAAACTATTAGTGATCGGGTAATATTTGCAGATCTATCATGTCCAGAGGCGGTTCATGGAAACTTAAGTTCAAATTCTATTAAAAAAATTTACCAAATAAAGCCAGTTATTAACATATTATAGGTATAGGAAGTCGTAAACTTCAAATATTGAATCCGACTCTCGAGCTAAAGTTAACAAAATCTAGCAATTCCCCACACAGATAAGCTATTTACAGAAAAAGTTACAGAAAAATAAAAAGAACCAGAAAGCAACAGTACAGAAGTCAAATGGATGAGAGAGATAGGCAGAGAGCAGACCTGAAGGATATTCGGATTTTCAGATTGCACAGTGAATCTGCTGCTGGGGCCTGGGAATTACCCTTTTGAGCTTTTTAAAATTATATTTATAGTTTCTAAAGTTGTCAGTAATCAAAGTTGTTCCTATTTGATGACTGCACGTTGAAATTATGTGAGTTGGCCACTTTTTTCCCTCTATTTATCCTTGAGCTTGAACACAAGTAATCCATTTTTAGTTATAAATACTTTTTTTCCCTTTACTTATCTAAAAGAAATTTAAAAATATGTGTTGAATATTGTGTATTAGTAATTCTGATATAAATTATGTATATATTAGTTATGTCGAAATTATTTCTTATACAGTATTTGATTTGGTGTATTGAAAAAAGAAAAACTATATAGTAAGGCAAAAATGTGTTATATATGTATTATATACAATTATAGTGTAAAAAGGGGGAAATACTCAAATATGTCATTAAATGTTGAAAAAAAACTCATTTATGTTATTTTCATTTGAGAAAAGACCCATCCATGTCATTATTGGTTAACTTAAATGGCATAGATGAGTCAAACTTTTATTGAATGACCTCAATAAGTCTTTTCTCAAAGTTCGATGACATATTTAAGCCTTTTACTTTTAAAAAATTACTTAATTAATGACGTAGCCGAATCATGATTGACCACGTGTAAAAAATCATTTTGCAAAACAAAAATTGTTTCTAGTTAATAAATAATGGCGTGAATGAACTTTTTCTTAAACGGAAATGACATAAATGAGCCAAACTTCTAAGGATGGCATAAATGGGTTGTTTCTCAAAGTTCGATGACATATTTGAGTCTTTCCCTTAAAATAATTACATTACATATTATAATTAAGAATTTATAGCAAATCTCGCCTCTGCCCCCCACCCTCCCCTCTCCTCTTCCGCTCTTTTCTCTCTTTATTTCTCACCTGAATTGAAATCTAATAAGGAATAAAGGGCTTGCGAGTTAAGATGGGATATTATTGATACAAATCAGGCAGGAAATTTGTATTAGGCTAGAGATGGTGGATACCTCAATTTATTCTGCCTCTTCTCATCTTCGATTGCATATTCAGACTCTTAATATGACAGAACAAGGGAGAGATACAATATTGTATCAATCGTATTCTAAAAAAGTTACAACACATAATTACAAATTTATAAGAAGGACAAAATTAAAGTTGAATACATTGATGCAATCTATAGTCAGGTGCAAATACACTCAAATACATAGATACATCGTGAATACACAAGGAACAAATAAACTTGTTATAATTGTATTCGTTCATACAACTTGATAAAATTATATTCATTGATATAGTTATTTTTGTTGATACACTTGATAGATAGTGAATACACAAGGAACATATAAAGTTATAGATACACTCGAATACATTGATACATAGTGAATACACAAGAAATATATAGACTTGATACAATTGTATTCGTTGATATAACTTGATACAATTGTACTCGTTGATATAATTTGATACAATTGAATTTGTTGATACAATCGATACATAGTGAATATGAAATAAATAGGTACACTTGATACAATTATATTTATTGATACAAATCAATTGTATTTGTGATATAACCTAATACAGCAAATACTACATTTATTTATCCCTCTCACCTCTTTCTCCTAAATCTCGTTTGCCTCTCTCCTCACTCTCCCAACTCACTCACATTCCCCCTCCTCTAACATGTAACTATGAATCGTAATTAAGCAGAATATAACTATAGATCTCTAATTAAGTCCAAACTATAACCATTTTTAAAGTTTCTCTATTAAAAATAACATATATATTGCATAATTTTTAAAATAAATAAAAAATGTTTGTAAAAACACCCTCCACAAACATGATGAAAAATATGTGAAAAAGGTTTGAGGGATAACAACACATTTAACATCATTAAAAATCTTTGCATTACTAAAACCATGAATTTCCATACATAATTATACATACCTTAATATCAACTTAGTTATACATAAGTAGAAAAAGGTGTACGAAATAAAAGACTAGTAATACACAAAGTTAATGCATATATATATATATATATATATATATTATTTTTTAATTATTTTTTTCTAATGCGCTCTACCGAACGACCGCTTCAAGGGACAACTTGTGCTAGATTTAAGTACCTTTTGTGATGACCTGCCAAGTCATCATACCACTTAGACGCTACATGACATATTTGTCCATTTGGAAGACTTAAATAGGAAATATACTAAGGTACCGTTTGACCACAAATATATTTGGAAAATTTTTGAAAACTAGTGTTTGACCATATAATTGTCATTACTTGGCAAATATATTTCGAAAACATCCCAAGTTTCCAAGTTCTAGAAAAAACTAGATTTGGGCCAAATTTTAGTATTTGAGAATTTTTAAGAATTTAAAGATTACCCCAAGTTTTATATTTTATAAAATACATCATCTAGTAATCCCAATTAATATCTATTTACAACCAATTACTCCATTAAAAAGAATAATTTATTTTTAATAGGTTATAATTTACCCTCAATCAGTGACACGTTTAAGTATGTGATTATTGTACTGCTCTTGCCTATATTGTTGTCTTTGTTGTTGTTAATCGTCATGAATTATGTTATAAGATTTTTTTAATGAAACATGTTCATTATAAATGACAAAACAAACTTATTAATTTTTTTAGAACTTATGGATATAAATCATATTTGTTTTTGAAAAATATTAATATTTCTCCCAAAATCTATGACCAAACATATGGTGAAACTTCACCCAAAACTTCATTCAAACATGACTTCCCAAAAATATTTGAAAATTTGTGGTCAAACGCTATCTAACTATTAGTGGAATATTCTAGAGAAATAGTGAGATTTTTCATGGTAGAATCCTAGAATTTCATAGATTTGCATTGAAGATCCTTGAAATAGTTTAAATTTAGTTTTCTAGAAATTAAAAGAGATTTATTTGTAATTATGTAGAGATTTGTATAATAATAATTATTTGCTTATTAGATCTTAGTTGAGTAGTATAAATAGATGAACATTCATTTGTAAAGACATCAAACAAATAATTCAAGTTATATCTAATACAAATCTTTCTTGCAATTCTTTTGTAATTTTTCTACAATTCTCTTAGCAATTTCTAATGACATAACAAAATCACGAGCGAGTTGTCAAAAATTGCATGTGTGTTTAGTTGAAAACTAAGGACACGACAATGTGGTATCAGAGCTAGGTTACTACTAAAGAAATGAAAAATGACAGAGAAATCAATGTTGCTAATACCCAAATCACCAGAATTTTGCTGGCAAAATGGGCTATAACAAAAAAGAAAAGAAAAAGGAATGATATATGCCAACAAGAGTCAGGAGATGTTGCTTGAGATTAAATGCTTACATTCCACTAAGGCGAACGAAGATGATGTGGAGGTCCTACCTGAAGACGTATCGCTCAAATAGACAGCGAGTTATGTAAGTTAATGTGGACATGAACGTTATCAATAGGGGTGGGAGTTTGGTTCTTCGGTTCGGTTTTATCAAATTTTGATTCGGTTTTTCGGTTTTAGAAAAGTGTGCACCGTATTCCAAACCAAACTAATTCGGTTCAATTTTTTCTACTTCAGTTCGGTTTAGTTCGGTGTTTTTAAATCAATTTTTTGGTGCGAATGAAAAATAAAATGAGGAAAAAAATCAAAGAATAAGATACTTAAAATTTTAAAACTATGTTAATAAATAATGTGTCACGCCATGGAACACTTAGGGCTAACTAAAATACTATATTTGTCTTTGTTAAGAACATTGTGCCTCCAACTACTTCTCGAGTAAAACAAAGACAAAGACGAGTTCATTTACATAATGTACATTGATAAAAATATGTTTCGGTTCCTCTTGGGATTAATATTTGAAGTTAACTATTAAATTGTACATTTGATGCTACTTTGATTTGTTCATGAATGATTTATTTGTTAGTTGACTTTTTATTTTTAGTTAAGAAAATGTCAATATATATATATTATTTTTTAAAATTTTAATTTTTTAAAAATAAAGTTTGGTTCTTCGGTGCACCGCAGTTTTGAGACCTTTACACTGAACACCGAACCGAAAAATCGAAGAACCGAATTAGTTTGGTTCGGTTTGATTTTTTGGTTTTTCGATATTTATGCCCAACCCTAGTCATCAAGATATTTAATGTAGAATTTTACAATATTTATATTTTTAAGAAAGAGTTAGTTTTAAGGATAAAATGAGAAAAACTTCATTAATTCTATCTTGATTTTATAAATCGACAAGTAAATTAAAATAAATATTTTAGTATTGCGGACATGTAATATATAAAATAGAGAAAGTAATGATTAAAATTAATATAATAAAATTATTATTTTATTTATTATTTTCTTAAAAGTGTGTCAAATCAAATTGAACAAGTAAAGGAGCAAAAGTGAACACTTTTGGTAAATATGAAGGATCTAAGTGGTGACGTACATAGTTAATGAATTATTACTGATTTACCCAAAAACATAAGGGATATATTTGTCGTGAAAATGAAAATTTGCGACTGTTCTAATGGAGTCTTCATCGTTTCCGGCGAGCTTCACGAAACTCCGATATCCATTTTCAGGTTTTTTAGTATTTAAATTTACTCTATAATTACTATCGATTAATAATAATTCAACAAAAATCATAGAGTTCAACTGTTGCACTCTTGATTCCGTTTATTGATGAATTTCCGTTTGGTGAATAATTTTTGTTGTAATTATTGTATATTTAACATTTAAATTTTCGATTATGGAAATGTATGCAATCGCAGTGAACAATACAAATAAGTAATTGAAAGAATAAAATGATTTCGATGCCAATTTCGCCTTTTATGTTGCCAATTGTGGTGAAGTCAGAAATTCCGCTAAAGATGTTCAAAATCTAATATATATGTGTGCGTAAAAAGTAATACTTAGACCTATATATACACAGTATATTTTCAGTGAAAGGTGTTCGACTGACTATTATTTTATCTGGGGTTTGGTTTGGCGTTGCTTTGCAAAGCTCAAATAGGTGGCGTTTGAACATTATATTAAGTATTCTTTCAAAGATCATAGCTTACAACAATAATTTGGGCTTTGCAGAGACATTGCTGAGTAAAAGAGAAAACTTTCCTGTGTGGATTAAGTGTTATACATCTCCTTCATCCACGAAGAATGCTGCTGGAACTTTACTTTATCAAGCTGGATTTCGTACTCAGAAGTGGAGCCTTTTGCAGGTTCAGATTCTATAGCTAGCTTGACTTGTATAAAACTGAGGAGATTCACATAAAGACATTTTTGTTTTCAGATGATTAGACCTGGATATTTGTCTATGACTATCTCGTTTTTATAATAATTGATGAATGGAGTGCAGTTTGCAAATGTAATTCATATATCTTTTTCAGGTTTCATGTAGCCGAGAGAGAGATATTCCTGTCATAGAAGCTGGGTATGCTGGCTATCCCAAACCACATAACAAATATTTTGAGCTTTACAGTTTCATCTATTTCTGTTATGCCGTACCCTCATGCCTTCTTTTGTTTCTGCCCTGGGATTGCTTGTTGACATTTATTGCTTTTTCAGTCTCATGTTGCTCCTATTATCTCTACCAGCCTACAATACTGTCGTAGTAGGATCATACTGCTTGCAAGATTTTATATCGTAAACTCCGAGTCAATTATTAAGAGCATTTACTGGGTGTGAGGCGTGAGCAAGTGTTTTTCTTTAGTTTTTTTATTATCAGTCATTTTTGTACTATTGATATATACATATTCTTCTGTAAGGCTTCATTTAAGCAACCAAAAGAGACCCCCAACTTGTAAGAGACATGACCAAGTGAGTTATGTATCATCTCAACATGTTTTCTATTGTTTCTGGTGTTTGAAGATAATTGAAAGAAGGTTGAAATTTGAATAGCTTCTGCTATGAATAGACACTGCAAAAGTCCTAGCTGCTTTTAATGACTGTGGCTCTATATACATCAATTTATAGCATTCATTTTCTTGTTAAATGAGTGAAGAACTGAAGATAGGACCTTGACTCATTTCTTTACTCAAGTGTGATTGTATTTATTTTCTTCTAAATTGGAAAGGGCCATATGCACTTCTCTGGCCGTATTCCTAGTTGTGCAAGTCAAGTTATTAGCACGAGCAGACTTTGTAGGGACCTCTTCCTAACTAACTGTCTGATTATATGGACTGAAATTCTCAATATAATTCATATGAAAACTAGACCCTCTCTCTTTCTAGACTCTTTCTAGAATTACTGACTGACTTGGCTGCAGTGGGTTTGCCAATTCTATACCAACTACGTTTGACTGGCATTGTTCCTGAGGCATTTGAGTGGAAAGAACTTCCCAATGTTGTGGGACTCATCCATGTTCAATATTTGGTCAACAGTATGGAGACCATGCTGCTCTACTTCATGTTTTTGGTAGGCCTAGTGTTCATTCATTTAGTTCCGAATAGGCCTACGGCAATTAGAGATGTAGGACTTCCTTAGATATAGGACAAATCACTCTAGTTAACTTATGGTGGATTTTGCAGCAATTACTTAAAGCTTGCAAAGTAGGACAAGAAATTGGTATGCTTCAAGTTCCTTGGAGATGAAATACCAATACCAATATTACGACGCAAGCAGTTACTGAGCTTGTGGACTACTTTGTTGTTTTTATGTAGATTGATCAAGTTAAATCATGGGAGTTTATATTGCTAGCACAATGGTCTAATGCTGGAATGTGAAATGCAGGAAAGTTAAAAAAGACTTGAAGAGGACAAAAAATCATTTGGAGTGATAGAGGACGAGAACTAGGATTGAAAAATGATGGTATAGATTGATACGAGCTCTACCTGTCTGTAAGATTTTCTTTGTATAATACATGGGCTACATCTTTAGATGAGGCCACTTCCTTTTGTGTTGACACTTAATATTAGTTGATTGTTTTTTGTTTGCTGTATTTTCATTTCTCTTGGCTTGGTCATGCCTAATCCTATTCTCTGATTTCTTCCATAGTGGGCTCTTGTGTGCTACCTTTTCTCTCATGAATAAGACTTTTTATTACTTAAAAAGATATAGCTCAACTCCGAAAACAAATCTGTGTCTGACTGGAACGACAAAATCAATCTAGACTGAATATGTCATGTTTGTTCTTCTATAGATAGTAGATACCTCCTTTTCTACATATAGCTATTTCATAAGCTATCAATGCATTTCCTGCATAAATGCTAAAAGATAAAGCCTGTGCAGTTGCATGTCTCGCTCGGCATGAGAAAATTTGTCTTTGTGAAATGGGTAAAGTTGAGCTTTGTCCACCTTATACAACTGTGATATTTTTTATTAATTTGTATTTATATGTTTGACTTCATATTTGTGTACCTTGTAGGTGCATGGATAACATATATGATGCTTTGGCCGAACACCTTGTTCCAACTGCAGCAGCAACATCAAGCCCTAATTTCAAGTAAGCTATCATTTTGTAAATCTGTTAGATGCTATTTACATGTAGCTTTTCAAGATAACCATGGTTTATCTTGAATTACTTCCTAACCTTAAGGCCTTACTAAATACTGACTGGAACCTGGAAAAGGGAAAATGAAGGAAAGAAGAAATGATTCCTTTAAGTTTTTGCTATTTCTAGTCTGCCTCTACCATCTGGCTGGTTATCTGAATGAGATGTATAACAATATAGAGGACTAATATGTCATGTGCCATAAAGAAAAGGAAAAATGAGACGACAGATCCTCCGAGAGGGGGAATAAAGGAAGAAGAAAGAAGAAGATACCCCAAGAAGCGACAACCAGAATGTATATGTCTCGATTATCCGTGTAAATATGTTAATAATAGAGAGTGAATATACATAAAACATCATAGTCACTAAGGGGTTTCTTGGTAGAGTCTATTAGAAAATATAATGCATACATTAACTTTGTGTATTACTAGTACCTTGTTTGGTACACTTTCTCAATCTATGTAAGCATTAGTTATACTCTCTTTGGTAAAAAAATGTGTATAACTAATGGATTGAAATCCATGGTATTAGTAATGCAATGGGTTCTAATGCTTGCATTAGCATGGTTAAAGACACATTTGTCGATCAAAACCTTTTTCACATCCCTTCTATCATATTTGTGGAGGGTATTTTTGTAAACATATTTATTTTATAAATTATGCATTGCATGTTTTTTTTAATACACCAAATCAAACACTGCATAAGAAATAATCTCAGCATAACTAATACAAGCATTACTAGTACACCATAATCAACTTTATTCTTATACACCCTACCAAATGACCCCTAAATCAGTTGATGAGTCAGTTGCCATAATAATAAAAATAAGCATGTTTTTCAAAATTAGAAGTTGAGCCTACATCAATAATATAAAACACATCTCTGAAATGTAAAATAACATGCTTTGAATAATTTAAATGAGTAGAATTGTGTATCTTAATTTAGTGATTGTGATGTTTATGGCTACAAACATCTACTCATTGACTCAAACATGCATTTTTTTCCTTTTATGTATATTAACTATCATTTTCTTTATATTGGTATTATTATTTACTTCTATCATCTCCGATATTCTCCCATTGCTTGTGCTTCATGACTTTTTTAACTACAAACTGCTATTATTATCAAAACACACTACTAATTGGTATGTTGACTAATTCCATGAGGTGCCTTAAGGAGAACAACATGCCTATTTATGCAGGCATATTGTTGGTCTTGCTGGTCCTCCCGGTGCTGGAAATAGCACTGTCGTATCTGAAGTAGCTAAGAGAGTCAATAAGTTATGGCCCCAAAAGTCTCCTTCCTTTGATTCTCAAGTTGAGCCTCTAGAAGTTGCCATTGTTCTTCCAATGGATGGATTCCACCTTTATCGTCATCAGCTTGATGCAATGGAGGTAGAATTTCATATGATTTCTTATTATATGTGTTGCTTCATTTGACTGTAAGGTTGGGCACCGTATCGGAATGGGACCATCGGATCGAAACGAACCGGTACCGGACCGGAACGGGATGGTTTGATCGGGTTGTTGACCGGTACTGGAATGAACCGGATCGGAATTACCGGGATGGAGGCTCAGTTCCGTCCCATCCCACTATATATTGGGATAGAACCGGGACGGACCGGAATGGAACGGAACGGAACGGGATGGGATAAACGGGACGGCACATATAGCTATTTCAAAACATAATTATTTTTTTTGAGTTATTTTGAATTACGAAAATATGAATGTTTTTTTTATTTTTCTAAGTTATATTAGTTTATAGTATTTAAGTTCTAAAATTTATAATAATTTTACTTAAGTTTATTTTAAAGATATTTTTTTTAATTTTTACGTATATAAGTTTGTAAGCTAAGTTTAATAAAGTTTTTTTTTTTTTAGTTTTTGAGCTTATGCAGTTATGTTATAAGTTTTAAAGATTTGAATCTTTTGAAGTTTATAAGTTATTAAGTTATACTTATAACTTGTAAGTTAAATAACTCAAGTTTGTAATTTTAAAAAATTAAATAAACAAAAAAGAAATGCTAATAAAAGTAAATAATGAAAAAAATATTATTTTTTATTTTAATTAAAAATGATTTACCGGGACCGGAACGGAACCGGAATGAACCGGTACCGGTATACCGGTACCAAATCATGATACCGTTTCGTTCCGTGTACCGGTTCAATGTATCCCATCCCGTCCCGAATACTACCGGACCGGAATGGTACCGGAACGGTACCAGTACAACCCGTTCTGGTGCCTAGCCTTATTTGACTGCTTCTTTAGTTTTTGGCCAAAACATTTGAAAATCTACTTAAAATGGACAAAGACTTATTGTTTGATGTGCGTTGTTAGCTGGTTTTGAGTAATGGACAGAGGACAAACGTTGAGTTAGTATTTGAACAAGAGATGAAAGAGTAATATACAAAAACAACAGAGGAGCTGCATATAAAATACTTTTTTTGTTTTGATAACCGTGGTGTCCGGGCCAGCTTGATAGCTGTCACCTTCCACCAGCAACAAGTACCCTAGTAACTTTGTCTATTAAGGCCAGAATAGATGAGAAGGAATCACCTGGTATGTTAGTGTTTTTGTCTCTGCTGAGATTTGAACTTGAGACCTCATGGTGCTCAACCAACTCCATTGACCACTAGGCCACGCCTTTGGATGCTATAAAATATTTTTTTCAACCTTTTTCTTTTGAATTACAGAATTATAAGTGAAACTTTGTACATATATTGTGGTTGGAGCATGTGTTTAGCAGATTTCATTAGAACTTTGTTACAGTTCCAACAATCTAACTAGTCGGCCTGTTTTATAGGATCCAGAGAAAGCACATGCGAGAAGGGGTGGTAAGTTCTCTTTTTTCGCAGCAAATAGATAATATGTTTGTACACAGTTTAAGCATTAATTTCTGGTTTAACTTATATTTCTCTCTCTATAATTTTTTTATGTTGAATCAGCTCCATGGACGTTTGACCCCAATTTACTACTAGAATGCCTTAAGACTCTTAAAGATCAGGTGAGTGAATATTCACCTCTGATTACTTGCACTTACTTCCATGAATGATTTTTTTTAGCCTTTTGAGTTAATCTCGTGTGGGCTTGAACTTTAATGTTTCATCTAGAGAAGAGGTTGTTATTCTGCTTGCATCTACCTTGCTCTGTTCATGTAGTGAAAATTCTAAGATCTGGTAATCTTTCTTCTGCAAGGGATCAGTGTACTGTCCATCTTTTGACCATGGTGTAGGAGATCCTATAGAAGATGATATCGTTGTGAACCTTCAGTAAGTTTATAACTAGTTTGGATGCTATTTTCTGTCTTTGATTGCACCCTATAAAATTCTAAATGTGTCTCAATCGTGTGTGTTCAGTTCACTATTTTGAGGGGAAATTGATGAATGGATGAATGAACAAAGAATATAAGTTTTATCAGTTCATTTCTTTGAATTTAGTTGATGCTCTATGTAATGGTTAGAAGTAAATTGAAGAATACGTTATGAAACTGTGAAAGCTGGCCGCTGGGTAATGTTTTACATATGCAGGCCTGCTGAGGTGTCTTGTCATTAGAAGTGTTTGCTCAATCAGTGTTCTCACTATGATCGTGCTACTTCTGTTAAAGTTTTTCTTCATACTTGTGGGCACTGGATAACTAAAATTATTAATACCTCTCTCATAGGTGTCTGCCGATATTTCAATAATTTGATTGGATAATTAAATAAGTTTCTAAAGACACATAAGGAATAGACAAATGTTAAAGTTCTTTTGTCTATTGCTAACGTTGCCTCGTCCATTTTTAAAAAAAAAATTCATAGTGAGTTTTGCAGACACAAAATAGTGATAGTTGAAGGTAATTATTTGCTACTTGGAGATGGTGCTTGGAAGGAGGTATCATCCATGTTTGATGAGAAGTGGTAAGATAATCTTTCTGATCCATGTTTTTCTTTTGACAATAGGGAAAAAATCCTTGTGAATTCCCTTGAAATCACCATAATATACTAAACTGAATGCTGAGGGATAACTGAGTTTTTCTGCAAGTGAAAGTTGAGTTTGCATCAGTCTAGCAAAAAATATGTCATTGTGTCAAAATTACTTTAGTGGATCCCTTTTAAAAAATAATTATTTATTTTAAATATACTCTTAAATTATTACAATTTATAACAACTTCTTTAATTTCTCTCTTTTCTCTGTCTCGCTCTTTCTCCCTTCCTTTCTTTCTTTCTTTCTTTTTTTTCTTTCTGTTGTTCCTTCTCCCTTCCTTTTTTTTTGTTGCTCTTTCTCCCTCTCTTACTATTGCTCTTTTTTCTTTTCTTTCGTAGAGTAGTCAATGAAATTAGACTGAATAAAACTTGTATCAATAATTAATTAGACAAGTAATTTAATCGTAACAAATAAAGAGACATAAGAAACTGCAAAATAAATTAAACTTGAATTTAAAATGTATTACAAACATATTAAAGTTGAATTATTAGAAGAGAATCAAACATGAATGCAAAATGTAGTAAACAAAAGAGCATTCTTTGATCGAGCATTCTTTGATCTGCATGTAAACTGAAAAAACTTGTATCAATAATGAATTAAACAAGTAATTCAATCGTAACAAATCAACCAATTAACTGCAAAATGAATTAAACTTGTATTTAAAAGTGTATTACACAAATATTAAAGTTGAGTCAGAAGAGAGAATTAAGCATGAATAAAAACACGTAACTAATGAAAGACAAGACAATGATCTATTTAGTAAATTAAACTTGTATCAATAATGAATTAAACAAGTATCCAATAGTAACAAATAAATCAAAAAACTGCAAAATGAATTAAATTTGCATTAAAATTGTATTACACAGTATTAAAGTTGAATAAGAAGAGAGATTAAGAATAAATGGAAAATGTAACTAACAAAAGACAAGACAATGATCTCTAGAATTAATTAAACTTGTATCAATAATGAATTAAAGAAGTATCCAATAGTAACAAATAGATCCAAAAACTGCGAAATGAATTAAATTTGCATTAAAATTGTATTACATAGTATTAAAGTTGAATTAAAAGAGAGAATTAAGAATGAATGAAAAACGTAACTAACGAAAGACATGGCAATGATCTATACTGAATTAAACTTATAAGTTATATCAATAATGAATTAAATAAGTATCTAATAGTAACAAATAAATAAAAAAACTTCAAAATGAATTAAATTTGAATTAAAATTGTATTACACAATATTAAAGTTGAATTAGAAGAGAGAATTATGAATGAATTCAAAACGTAACTAACGAAAGACAAGACAATGATCTATAAACTGAATTAAACATATATCATTATTCGTAAATAAAACATGTATTATACGTATCTTATAAATTATTTTGAATTATATAAGAAGATGATATATTTGAAATATGTATTATAAATGTATTGTTCATGATTTTAATTCAATTTTAATACAATTATGAAATAGATCTAATTCAATTTTAATACAGTTGCAAAACAATTCCAAAATCTTCGTCTTCTTCAAGTTTTAATTTGAAATTTCTCATAAAATCAATGCTAAAGTTAATGAATCTCCCTTAAATTAAGATATAAACTCCAAAATGTTATTTTCAATAATATGGAAGAACAACTTATACAAACGCATCACACTTTCGTAAAATTTAAATAATGAATTCAAAGCTTGAAGCTTTTTAATGGTCATCAATGGCTTGCTGCTGCAATTTTAGAGATTTGAAATCTCAATTTGCACACACGATTTTGTACAATTTTTGGTTCTTTGTATTCTTCTCCTCGTGATATTTTTGGTGTAAATCGTGCAACATGGGTATAAATCGATTTGAAGAGATGAATATTTAAAGATAGTTATTTGAATTAAAAAATTTAAGAAGAAGAAGAAGAAAAAAAAAAGGAGAAATCATATGTAGAGAAAGAGACGAATAAATAGGAAAGAAAATGAGTCCGAAGTTGTACAATTTTAATTCCATGAAACTGATAGATTTAGTTAAACAGAAATTATAGTCATAAATGGTAAATATTTTCTCAATATAGCATATCTAAGTGATTTACCCATTTTTATTTTAATGAGTGTAGTGCTCGCATCATGTGCTATATTATAATGTGAGGGAAAGAAAAATTAATTTTTTTTCCATCTTTGTTCTTAGTCTTACTAATTTTTTTCACCTAAAAAATCTTTGTCCTAAGCTTTTTATTTTATTTTCACCTTTTGACCAGATACGAAGAAGTATGAAAATATAAATAAAATCTATAATTTTTTGGGTTTTAAATTAAAGATATTCCAAATCTATCAAGGTGTTTATTTGGAATCATTTTCTATTATTTTAAGGAGTTTGTTTTCAATCAAACAATATTTTCTTCATACCGAATACGCCCCTAAACACGAGCTTCTCGACTTATATCTAACTTGCTTTTTTAGTCATGTTATGCCAAATTGAATCTCTCATCATCATTTGATAGCATGCTAATTAAGATAATGAATATTGAACTAAGTGTTGTGTCGTAATTTAACTATTTCTAGAAAAATCACTTTTTGAAATGTTCTAAGTATAAAACAATTTGAAAAAAATACTTAGAAAAGAGTCGCCACTTAATTTTTTTAAGAAATTAAGAAAACTTATAATTTTCAAAGATTTAAACAGAAAAAATCATTTGAAAATACCAAAGAAGATTCGGGGTTCAATTTACACTTCGAGAAGGGTTTAAGCATTCGAAGTACCCACTAACATGCGGTTGACCTGCGACTTGACTAAAATATATTTAACTATTTTTAGAAAAATAACGATTTAACATAAAATAAAAACTTACAATATTTGATTAACTTTGAGAAAAAATAGTTAAATAAATGACACATTTTTTATTTTTTTTTAGAAAAGGGATTCAAAATGAAATATTTGACTGGAAATATAAGTGATTAGAATATTAATAAAACTATATTAATTAGAATTTATTTAATTCATTTTAAAATAACTTGAACCAATTTAATACATTAAAGCATGAAAATCATTTTAAATTAATTGAAGAAAAAAAGTTTTGACTAACCTTCTTGAGAAAATGACTAAGTAAGTATTTATAATAATATTTTACATTATTAGATTAACTTTGAGAAAATAGTTAAACAAAGAGCGATTTTTATTTTTTAAGAAAAATGGGACCTTAATTGAAACATTTGAATTAGAGACAAGTAATAAGAATTTTAACGAAACTAAATTAGTTGGTTTTTATTTGAGTCATTTTTTGGTTTATGAAAACTATTTTAAACTAATAAAAATAAAATTAAAAAAAAAAAATTTGACTAAAGATTATAAATGAAAATACAAGAGTTAATAAAATAAGATTTGTTAGAAACAAAACAACACAGAGAAATGGTATAAAATTAGAGTTAAACAACAAACAATAAATAATCACAATTAAATAATTAAAGAGTAAGGGAGAAATTGAATTTGGGCCCCCTTTTGGGCCAATTTCGTTGGTATTTTTTGGGGTTTAACCAAAACCCGTTTTTGTATACATTTTCTGTATATCGGCATGTATATCAGCCTTTTTCGTGTATTTCCTGCTTTCGAACACTTGTATTTCACCTCATCTCTTTATTTTCACATTTTTTACCTGTATATAAGTGTATACTGAATGTGTACAGCTGTATACATCTTGTATACAATCCCCTTTTGGGCTTTTGGGACTTATAACATGCTCTCACCCTGTATATCTGCCTCCCCACGATCCACATAAACAGGGGTTGACTCAAAAAATAGGGAAAGCATTGGGTTTCAACCCAAACTCAAAATACAAGGCAAAGAGGAGTTCGAAGAACTCGATCCGAGGGAATTTATGCAAAGAAAACAAGATGAAACGATTAGGACGGAGAAATGGATCATAACAACTCACCATAATAACAAAGGGAAAAGAAAATGAAATAAATGTAAGTACATGACGGCAAAGCGCAAATCCTAAATTCACAAATGTAAATAATCATTGTAACTTGCTTTTATTATTATTATTTATTTCCTTCTCTCTTTCTATTTATATATAATAAAAAAAAAGATAAAAATCTGGGCATAATTAATTGGAAATTAATTGAAGTGCCAACAAAGTTCCCACTACAAACAAAAGAGGGCAGAAAACTTAAATGAGATTACACAGTAATAGCAACCAATAATGAAGTCACAGGGGTATGAACCTTCAACAATTTCAAGCAAACATAGGACATTTTCAAACTTGAAAGTATGATAACTAGCAATAAAAGCAATGCACATATCTATATCCTATATCGACAGAACTTAGGGAAGAACGACGAATCGAATGGAAAATATCATTCAAGTAGAAACATCAACTCAAGCATATGACATAAACCCAAATGGAAAGAAGAGCATGAAATTTATAGTGAAAGAGATACTGCCAGCTAAACCTCAAACTTTTAGCGAAATGAAGAAAGAAACTGAGAATTCCGCCATATATTTTACTAAGGAAACGAAACAAAACTTCAAGTAGCACAACGAAAACATTGGCTTTAATATAATATACACCTAACACATGATGACTAAAATGAGAAAAAAAAATAAAAAAATGAATAACTAAAACAAAGAGGAGAAAACAGATGCTTGAAAACAAAGCAGACTCAACATTCGAAAGCCAATGAAGCAGATGCCGAAATAGGCTTGAGCAGTGAAAATATAAAATTTGCCATGATAAAGTTGAAGGAGCAAAACAATATCCAACAATAAACCAAAGAGATTACTTAAGCATACATGTAGCATATACAAGCTATCAACATTCAAAACCGATTAACGACCACCTAACAACAAAAAACAATGATTCTAAATTATCAAAACACCATAGCAAAGTAAAAAAAATAGTAAAATAAATTGAGGAGTATTATAGGCATTACCTCTTCCTGGGCAGCGACTGGAACG